GACCGAATGGAAGAGGAGAATTGAGGAGGCCATAGAAGAAGAAATTTTTAACTTTGCTGAGCCAAAACTAAAAATAAAGCAGTTTGTTAGTGGTATTCCTATTTTGTGTACTTCTCAGAATTTAGTATGCAAATTAGAAAACAAATTATTTCTTCCATATTTATTGTAGCTGAAATGGAATTTTGCAATTTCAGGCTTTAGTACTTAAATATCCTTTATCCTGAGGAGTTAGTAGGGTGTAAGTGTCCCTAGCATGGAAGGCTTAAACATAGAATTATTAATAGAAATTATGGACAGACATAAATATCTGAATTTTGTACATGTTAATTTATGGTTTTTTCAAAATTGTGACACATAAAGTATCTGAAAGAAAGTAGGCATCTTAAGTTAGAGTAATATTTTGGTTCTGCTCTCTTTTTCCACTTTACCTGTACGAGGGGCAGTCAAAAAGTTCCCGGAATTGTAGTATAGCACTGTAATGGTAGGAAATATGGCAACACTTACCTAATCACCTTCAAAGTAGGACCCTTGCGCACACACACACTTGCTCCATCGATCCTGCCATTGTTGAAAGCACCGGTGGAAGGCTTCATTTGGAATCTTCCGGAGTTCGGCCGTCGCATGGTTGCGAAACGTGTCCCCTTGAGGCCCATCTTCAGAGTAGGGAACAGCCAGAAGTCACTCAGAGCGAGTTCCGGAGAGTATGGTGGTTGGGTGATGACGGAAATGCTTTCCTCAGCGAGGAATTGCTGCACAACCAGTGATGTGTCGAATGCGACAGCCGAACTCCGGAAGATTCCAAACGAAGCCTTCCGCCGGTGCTTCCAACAATGGCAGGATCGAAGGAGCAAGTGTGTGCGTGCGCAAGGGTCCTACTTTGAAGGTGATTAGGAAAGCATTGCCATATGTCCTACCATTACAGTGCTTTTTGACTGCCCTACGTATTACCTTAATAAATTTTCCTTGTGATTATAGATATGGAACAGGGACTTTGACAAAAGTATTTATGGAGCGTGTGTTTCAAGAGTGTCTAACTTATGATGGTGAAATGGACTACAAAACATACCTAGACTTTGTTCTTGCCATGGAGAATCGTCATGAGCCACAGTCTTTACAGTACCTGTTTCGAATTCTTGACATCAACAACAAAGGCTATTTGGATGTGTTCTGCCTTAATTATTTCTTCAGGGTGAGGATTTGTAGTGGTGATTAAGTGCATCCAGTGGTATATACACATTTATTAATTTTTCTGTTGTCTTTACATAGATATAAAATGAACGACTGGCTAATTTTTAAATGCTGAATTGGTGCCACAAACGAAATGGGTGGCATGGAGTCTGTACAGGTGTAACTGATATATGTAAACACTCTGAAAGACGGAGTTGATCTGTTTGCCATCTTGCATTATAAAATAAATTTGTATTATTATTGTGAAGTTGTGTTGTTCTACATTATGGTTACTGGCTTGTCACATTAATGTCCTTATTGTTACATAGTCTCACCAACAACATATGAAGTGGACCTTAGGTTGCTTCTATATGAGGACTTTGTGTTCGTTTTACAATTTAACATGGCACAGATTTTTAAGAGTGTGGAGCTTAATCAAGAATTCTGTAAAATTAATTGTTGTTTGTTATAATTTTATAGGCAATTCAAGAACAAATGACTTTTCATGGACAAGAACCAGTTCCATTCGAAGATGTCAAAGATGAAATATTTGACATGGTTAGACCAGCTGATCCATACCGAATTACTCTACAGGACTTGCTCAGTTGGTGAGTTTAGACACCATTAATTTTAGGGTATCTTCTTCCTCATCTTCCTTCTCATTCCAATAATTCTATTAATTGATTAAGCACTGTGGCTTGTTCTGACTAAGAATGAATCTGGTACTGAAGCTGTTGGGCATAGGAATAAATCTGGAAGAGGAATCGCTCTCTTGCTATGCAAAGACTTGGATAAATCTGCATGCCCCTAGTTTAATTGAACCTTTCTTCTTCTATGGCTAGTCAGTCCGTGGCCTCCTCAATTCTCCTCTTCCATTTGGTCCTCTGTTAGGTCCGTCTGTCCGAGGCTTTGATTGAGGTTTCGAAACATCTTCCTTTTTACGGTGCAAGGTTGTTAGCCTTGCGACCAACCCCCAACCTGGAGGACCAGGGTACCTGTCTTAGTCTGACCTCTCCCCCTTGACCAACTGGCTAGGGAGGCCCTACCAGTAGCTCTTGGGGTCACTGAGGTACTCAAGCCCCACCACCACAAGGTGCAGATACCATTAAGTGAGGAATTTAACCTTTAAGTGATGCATATTTAAAGCCCCCGTTTAGCCAGACAGCCAGAATATTTTGGCATTTAAACAATTTAAATGGCAGAAAATCGTTAAACAAATTTTAGGCTGTTCACTGCAGTCTTTAGTCTGGAATTGTACAATAAAATGTAGGCAATTGGGGATGAATCAGTTTTCCCCATACTGTTCGGAGTTTCAAAATAATCAGCTGACATCATAGTATTATCCCTTGTTTCTTTGTTTATACCTTATTGAAATACTGAAAGATGGATTGGTTAGAGTGACATTAATGATAATGTTAGGGTTTCCCTGTGTTACAATATTTTATACTGAGACTCAAAGCTTTGACTTTCGATGCACTGTAATACAATTGTTTTAGAGGAATTTTACATTACTCATGTGAATTTTTTTTCAGTGGTCAAGGTGATACCATGATAAGCATCCTTATAGATCTGAATGGATTCTGGACTTATGAAAATAGAGAAGCAATGGCAGCAGACACACGTGATGGACCAGCAGAAGTGTGAAATCCACAAGTGTATTACATAGGAAATTGTTCAATATGACATGAATTTTAAAATAAATCCCAAGTATTCTAAGTGTAATTTCTGTTGTTAAAAATTAGGTAATGCATATAAAATGCACTTCAAAGTATTATTAGTCAGGGTTCATTTCCCAGCAGTGTAATTTGGATTTTTCTGTCAGGCTCTGGCCTCTGCAACCTCCTATCTAGTGGGTGATTTTTCTACATGGACAGAAGCATCAAGGGTACAGTTATCTGTGTCTAGCACTGCAGTTAAGAAACTGGGCTTTACATCTTTATGTGTTATGTATCTTCATGGTGTGGTTGAATTCAGAGAAAGCTTCACTTTCTTTTTAATACATTTTGTCTGTATGTGTTTGATGTTTGTGATAAGGGTTACGGACACTAGTTTAAGTGTGTGTGTTGGACTGGAAAGGTAAAGTGAAGGAATACATTTTATTATCGGGTTTTCTTAGAAATGGATTCTAAAATGAAAAAATGACACTATAATAAATCTTGGGGTTGCAGTGGCCGCACGGTCTGAGGCGCGGGCCTTGTGCTGCTTGGTCACTGGGACCGTGGGTTCGAATCCCACTCAAGCCATGGACATTTGTCCGCATTTTTCTGTGTTGTGCTGTCCTGTGTACTGGCAGAGGCCTTGTGATGGGCCGATCCCTCATCTAAGGAGTCCTACCAAATGTCTATAGATCAAGCCAACGGAAAGTTGGGACCCGTAGTGCTCAGGCATTTGAAGAACGGGTCGTTCCCAGTATAATAAATCTTACACAGAAATGTAGCTTCTTATGCAGAAGTAAAATATTTATAGGTTCATTTGTATGTGTACCCATCTGATTAAAATTAAGCAAATCTGGTTACATTTTATGCCATTCAAAGTTAATGACAAAAGGGGATAACCATTCTGCATTTTGAGAATTGCAGTAAGGCATATTTAAAACCAGCATATCTTTGTAACATCAGTATACATGGCATCAGGCATGGCAGAATACACCTTAAACTTGGATTATACTATTCAGCTGCATGGCATCAGTATCCTGGTCAAGAAATCCAGATGTCTAGAACAGGTCACGGAAGTGACATTGAGCAACATCCCAATATGAATACAGCAGATGGCTTCATGAGCAAGTCATGTAAGCCTCTCATTCACACACACAAAAGGAGTGAAACTGAATTATCTCTACTAACAGTTCATATAGTTTCTTCTGGACTGGATCTTTTCCTAACCTAGGCCCAGACAGGCCTCTTTACCCTCCTTCTCCTGTCTGTGAGTATAATAAAACTATGCTATAGTTATAATATTATTATTAGCACTGCAGGACAACTCCAGAATAAAAGCAAATCTTCCTGCTCTTCTTGGCCTGATTCTTCCTATGTATTCACTGCACCCTGATAATGTTAGTAGCATATTCCTCCAAAACAATGGGAACTACTTACAAAGAAAATATTTATACATAACCCATAAGACAGAAATCCACAAATGTAATTCTGATATGAGTATGTTACTGACTGTCTCAGCTACCAAACCAAGGTTGTTTGTGTCCATAATGCAAGGTTAATGAGTTCCCCAGTCATATGACAGGCACAAATAATGTTTCCATTATATTTCAGTATGGCACACAATCAAATGCAAATTCTGTGAAGAACAGATTTAAAGCATTCCCTTACTTTGCCAGGTTTTAATTTTTATTGTTGGTTAATCCTGAAATGCAGTATAATAAGAATGGTCACCTGACAGAATTTTCTAACCAGGTATTGAACTGTCCATAGTAGTAGGAATCCATGTAATAACAGACATTCAATAAATTAATTTTAACACTGTCAACTTTATTAAGTCTGTACATTTTTTCTGTAATGTTTTATGCACCTAAAATTACATATTTAAGCAGGTATTCATGAAAGCTTGTAACACACCAATCTGCACTATGTACAAAGTATATACTATAATTATGTAGCAGGTTCAAAAGTGTAATGAACTTCTCCTTGGCTTGGGTATTGTTTTGGTAACACTGGTCGAAACAGTTTCTTATCTTCCAACCAATAATATACCACAGCAGAACCAGCCATGACTCCAAAGAATGCAAGAGCTTGCTGTGAAAGAGAGAATCTAGGTTTTGCGCTTACATCAATGCGATCTTCTCCATACATATCCACGTTGACATGAACAGGTTCTCCGAAATTTCGCCTATGTTCTGGAAAATCCCACGGATAAAATGGGTCTCGCGATTCGGCTGAGATGTCTGGCAGCTTTGGGTAGTCTCCATGCCCCATACCATCATCAGGATAAGGTTCATACTCTTCAGGAGATAAATTGTATTTTCTTGCGGCTTCAGCTCTCTTTTCGGGTGTCTCTGGATATGGACCCGGTTTCCAGTCCTTGTTCCAATGATTTCTGACAATTTGATATGCTACAGCTCTTCTAAAATTCATAAGACGGGACCCACTCCTGAACCTTACTACGGACGCCATGTTTCCACCAGAAACAAAAACACAGCACAGTCTTGTTTCAATTCTACGGCTGGTACTTATCCCCTAATTAACACACTGACTGGTTACTCAATAATATCACTCATCCGTATAGGACTACTTTCCCAAACTAAATAGCATGTATTTACGAAAGTTGTAGAACAGAGCAGATTAGCAGTTGAACAAAATAACTAAAAACCAAAATCTTCTAGCAAACATTTACCATCGACAACTCAGTGTAGCCAATAACACTTCGTTTGGTTGAGGTTAGTTATCAAAACGTCATTTACAAATAATATCAGATAACACTGACTTCTGACAGTTACACCAAACTAATTTGAATCAGGGGAGAAATAATAATATCTTTGTACGAATGCGCTAACACTAATTAATTTAACTAAATGGAATGAACGCAGGTTGTAGAAATTGGCATAACTGATCAGAACCATTTAAAAATGGAAGCTGTATGTTCTAAGAAGTTGATTAAATCGAAATCTGGATTGAGAATTGTAGTTACAAATGATAAATTCAGGAGCCCTTTTTTACTGTGTGAACCTCAGTGGACTCCAGACAGTGAGGTAGGTGTAAGGCTGAGTTTAAGTGATGTTAGGTATTAGGAAAGAAATTGGACCCATGATATAAGAAAATATAGGTAATCAATTTGATATAATTAGTATTTTAAACCTAAATGCTTCTCTTGCAATGGTTGTTGAGGACCTGGAGAAGCAGAATTTGGCATTTGTGGTGACATTAATATTAATCACCTTACTAAACGTTACCACAAATAAGATAATTCATTACACACTCCTTTTACCCTGTTGATAAATTTATAATGTACACTAATAAGTCATAATGTTCAAGGTTTTATTGTCTTCATATAACATAAACGGGTAGGAAAATTTGTTTGCTGTGTTGTGGGTGGATGTATTTGTAACATATGACGAATTATGTGAACCCTTTGTGTGTAATATATGACATTTTCTAATAGTATGAATGGTACTTGTGATATGTATAATAAGTATTGCATTATCATGACTTATCATATTGTCATCTGACCAATTCATGGATCCATGTATGTACTTATTATAAAGTTGATTATAAAAGGGATATCCTTACCTTGCATATTGTAATGTTAAGGACGTTTATCTTTCAGAGCACAAACTGCACAGCATGTAAGGTGAAATTTGACTTTGTAACAAGAAGGGTAAGAAATTTATATAAGGTATTAAAGTTCTGGCATGTCTTTATAACATGTTGACCAGTTTCATTAGTTATATTAGTATAGTTAGTAGTTTTAAATAAAACCCAAATTCAGTTACATGGTAAGAGGTCTGCTTAGATTATGTGCATTGCATGGATCTTGGTTAATGAGGACGTGGAACAAGTCAGTATACAAATAAACACAACAGACAAATCATAGTAGAAAGATTATGACACGTAGTACACAAAGTTATTACTTGTACAAGAAATGATAAAAATTATTCCACAGTAAGTTTGCTTTTAGTTCTTAGTTGGCACTTGTTATACAGTTTTAATTTCTGTATAGTATGCATCCATCACCCTCGGTGAACTAGTGGTTAGCGTGCTCGCCACAGGACCCAAGGTTCGTGGGTTCAAACCTGGCTGAGGTTGATGGATTTTTAAGGGTGATAAAAATCAGTAGCACAACTTCCTATGGAGGAGAAGTAAAGTCGGTGGTCCTGTGTCGTAGATTTGCGGCATGTAAAAGAACCTTGCGAGCATGAATGAGATGTTTGCTAAGCAAAATTCAGGGGCCATTTCTCATCCAAGTCTCGCCAAGGCTCAACTTCAGGCTGTTGCGCCATAAAAAAAATAGTATGCATCCCTTAAGTCACTCTAAGGTCAACATTTGGTGTGTGGAGATGTGGAGATATGACTGTGTTAAGACTTGATTTAATGAACTTCTGAATTTAATGTTGGTGTTCTGTATTGTAATACCATGTATACTTGTAGGTAGATACCAGTGTTTTGGAAAGTGGAGATGTTATGTTTCTCCAGAACATTGGTACATGTCTACAAGTCCACAAACTAAACAATCCAAAAGACCAACATCAGCATCTTTATCACTGTGTGGACCTTAAAGGTAAAATTCTGAATTTGATTGAAAAATATCATAGGTGTCATCTATAAATGTAATTAAAGCAAATGCATGTTTAGAAGCAAGGATTATTATGCAGAATATCTTAAATAAACTTGTACAAAGCTCACTTCAATGAGAACTGGCCATATTTCTAAACATTTTCTCTTGCAAAAGGACTATTTTGTGACTGTTAGGTGAATTTCTCCCCAAAATTATATGATATGAGTTATTGAAATTATGTGAAGTATGCTTTCAGTTTATTATATGAATTTTTGATAAAGCAAAGAATGATGGCAAATCTTGGTTTTTAATGTGAGTGCCGTAACCACATGTGTATTGGTTACAGATATTGTGATGTTTGTTTTGTCAAAATGTAGTCAGTTTATTAGCTGTGAACCACTTGTTCGTGAGAGTTAGAATAGCTTCTTTGGTGTTGTAACAGTAAATAAATCTTATAGTCATTGTTAGGTATATGTGCTCTTTCTAAGTAAAGTTGTTCTCCTAAACTTAGTACTTGATTAAATCTAAATCTTATAAAAGAGAAACATATAGCTGTGACAGGAATTTGCTATGTCATGACAGGGAAGATAAATTGCAGTTTTGTGTATTCTAGTCTTTGCAGGCTATTTCAAAAACAAGTTAATTTGTTTTTGTATTAAATTTTACCCTATTTCATAATTTGTAATAACAAGAATTCTTTTGGTTTAAATGCTTTGTTTGTCCACTGTTACTCTGACCTACTCAGTTGTGTTTGTAGCTGGTATAGGTTTTGTGCAATCTAAAGTATTGTTTTGTTAGGTGCTAAGAGCATGCTTAATATAAACTTTTAATATTTTGTTATGTGCAATTTTGCAGCACCATTGTCGCCGTTGTGGACTGATATACTGTGGGTCGTGTTGTGAATCTAAGATGGGGCTTCCTCGAATGTGCTTTGTAGATCCAGTTCGTGTTTGCAACAGATGTGCTTTTGTTACAAACAAGGAAAGTGATTTCTTTGATCGACAATTGAAAACACTAACCAGTGGTAAGTAAAACTTTGTGTTTTCATGTTCTTTGTTTTGTAATACTGTAGTTAAGTATTTAGTGTAGTTAATTTATTTAAGCAGTAATATCTTGACATTAACTATTTATGTGCTGTTGACAAATATTTGCCCCCTGAATTTCTGACTTATTTCGGTTGTTCTGTAATTGTAATGTGGTTGGCACTACTGATTCATGTTTAGGAGGATTGCAGCTTGAATGCTGGCTTGACAGTTGACTGTCCTCACTGAAATTATTTGTAGGTTTCCAGGTGAATGATTTAAATGTAGCACATTTCATCCAAAGTACTTCTCAACTGATCTTTCATAATTATCTTTTCATTTCTCTTTCATTATGGTGTAAGCTCTGCCGATGTTATAGAGTTTTTAACAAACCAGAAACAAAATTTTGTGGTTATTTAATTTTGCACATCAGGCAATACACAGAATATAGCATATTTCTTGCAGGTGCTACTTTCCTCCTGGATCAGAGACTTTCAGCTTGTCCAGATTCTGTCAACTCTCTTGTTTGCAAGCTGTCACAAGATCACAGGTATGCTGTGTCCTGATTTCATACACATTGAGGACTTTCTTTCTGAGGAACACATTATGGTATGTCCTCCTCCTCCTTTCAGTTTTGTTATGTTGCTTACATTTACAATAACCATTATTAGAGAAGTATTATTCAACTCTTTATTTAAAACAGTATAAGGAGTCTAATATAGAAGTATTGGATAGTGATTTTACAAAGGAAGAAATTAAGAATATATTTACAATAAAAAAATAAGAAAGCCATAGGATTTGATGTTATTCCAGCCAAGTTGTGAAAGATGTTTTGCACTATTGGAATTGTAATTCTGATCAGTATTTGTAATAAAATTAAGATGGAGGAAGAGTTTCCTACCAATTGGAAAATTGCTACTATTTGGCAAATTTAGAAATGAAACTGACAATTGCAGAGGGATTTTGCTTTTTGTCAGTTGTACATAAGACAATTTTTGGTTTTTGGCTGGTAGAATGAGGGACTGGTTAATGAATTCTGAGAGTTTATGATGCCTTCAGGACACCTCGCTTAGTAGCTAATGTAGTGCTATGGTAGAAAAACGGTTAGCTCATGAAGTAGTTTTTAGTTTCGTGTTAAAATGGGTCATGAGGAAATAGTTGTGTGTGCGTACTGGATTGAACTGGCTGCGAATGATAAATCTGATAAGTAGAGAAACTTCAGAGTAGGTGAGTAGCAGTCAGTTACTCAGAGAATGCTGAGGAGTCGGTCACACCTTTTGTCTAGCAAACTGTAATAATAAAGTGTGCCTTAGCATGTAAAATTAATTCAGTCTGGTATGAAATTTCACACATCTTTAAATTGTAGTGTTTTCTTTGCAGATATCTAGTGTTTGAGGGCAGGACAGCAGACTCTGTGAGTTCAGTAGAATTGCATCAGGTGAAAACACTTGGTGTTGCACGGGATCCTGACACTGGTACGAAGTTTTTCTGAATATATTGCAGAGTGTGAGCACAAAGTATATGACTTTCCTGATTGTCATTTTTACTTTGTTTTATTAGTTTAATGACCATATTCACAAAGCTGACTGAACCCCTTCACTAGTGGTGAAAGTACGTATGTCATTTGGTTGTGTGTTAGCTATAGGGAATTCCTCAAACAACTGAATCATCTGACACTTTTGCCAGCAACTCCTCTATCATCTGTGAAGAAAATGGAGTCTCAGAGTCTCATGTTGTGGTTAATATGCTGCATATTATAAATTTGTATGTGAATAAATTGTTAAAAAACACTATCACAGTACATAGTCAAAATGTATCTCTTCTTCTCTCAGAAGACTTTGAATCTCTAGAAAATATTGTTTGGCACACAAAGTTGTAATTGTTTCATCCAGTATATGGGGGTTATTTGAATACATTTTGTCTTCTAGATTTCCACACAAATAAGAATCCCCTAAGCCTGGAGACCTAAAAGGTCACAGTTTGTGACTTATCTGTCTGTCCTCAAACACTTTGGTTAAGATGTTAATGATATAAGTGCTGAGTATTATAGCACCATCATCTTGCATGAAGTGAGCATATGTATTTTCTTCTTTTGTAATACTTTCAGAAAATGGCTGAAGAATGCCACTGACATACATCTTTAAATTAATACTGTTTTAAAAAAGATACAGGTCCTGCTATTTGTGTAGCACACTGATCTTCTGATCGCAAAGTGGCTGTTAAATATATGTCTTAATACTGCTCCAGTACCTGTTGTTTTGAACATTAATATACTCACTCAGATGGGACCAAGCTTCAACAGTGAAGAATGTAAGTTTTAGGTCAAAAACACCATCATGTAATGCCCACAAAATCCAGTTACAAAAATGCATTCTTTTCTCATAACCACCTTTTTCATTTACTTTATTCTGTCTCCAGTTTTGTCAAGCATTTTCTCAGTTATCGCACCATTCTGTCTAGTGTATTCACACTCACTTGCACAAACAGTTCTTACCAGTTTGAAAATTGTTAATGAAGCTGTAACACAAACGCCAGGACACTTATGTAGAAATATTCTTTTACACAATACATAGCAGAAAGATTCCCTGTTGAAGTGTATATTTCACAGTCTATATTTCTGTAAATGATAACAAGAAACAAACTTCTGAATGATCTTATGAGAACAGAAACACAAAAAGAACTGATCTTGTTATGTTAGTTAGACATGCAGTGATAGTCATAAAAGATAAACAGTAACAGAAACAATGCATAGTAATGCTGCTGACAAATCACCATCACTGTACTAGCGTATGTGCCATGTAAGGTGTTGCTAGCAACCGCCAGCTTATTTTTACCAGCACTGAGCAAGCTCGATTTGGTTGTTTGCAGAATTCCATGTAGTATTCTCTTGAATGTGATATTTCAAAACAATATTTCATCCTTGCACATATCAGTATAATGATTTCTTACTTTTAAAATTCTTTGTGTCCATAAGATGGTTTCTTATACTGTTCTTTTCTTGTAGAGATTCATATTGTGTATTAATTTTTGGTCCTCATGTTGTAGCAGACAGTGAGGAGGAGCTGAAAGGTTAGTTGCTGTATTGCAAATAATTTCATTTGAATATGAAGTTCTCATGGCTGTGAGTTTGAGGATGGCTGTCATCATGGTGCTAAGTCCAGAAGACAGCCATCTTAAGATTTTGATTGTTTAGAGAGTATATGGTACTCTTTTGTGGGGTTTGAACCAGATCACTTACATCCATGTAGAGCTGAAGTTCAGAATTTATGTAACCCTACCTCCATGTTCCCCATATACCTGCATGGTGTGGTGCTTGTGCCCAGAGATAACTTTACCTTTGCATTTTATAGTCAGTCTTAAGAATCTCAGTTAGTCCTTAAAATAGCAGTATCATAAAAATGCAAAACTATCACCTTAGATCATATGATTCTCATAAAATTTGCCAGTGAATCAAACATATTCCATTACAATATGTTTCTTATTTCAACTTGGTCTTGGTAATCTGAAATGTAGACAGTTTGCCTGCCATCTACTGCTTATGGGGCACTGTGTAAGTTTGTCTCCAGCACTTGAAGATAATAGAACATTTTTCTTGAAACAGGAATACGACGTAAGTTTGTCTCCAGTACTTGAAGATAATATGAACATTTTTCTTGAAACAGGAATACGATGTTGAATGGCCTATTCTAGATAAAAATGCGAATTTTTATTTTCATTAAACTAGGCTGTAGTAAAATTAAATTATTAAAAGTTTGTAAAATTCTTGAAGATGAACTGTGATAGCTGTTGGTCAGCATCTGGGGTCTGATTCCAGATAAGTGCATTGTTATTTATCTGTTCAGTGCCACATTCATAATGGCCCTGGGACCCACATACAAGGTTTCTTCTGGAGGATCTTAGACTGATGTTAAGACATCCAGAACTTAAGGCTGATTGCCCTGCTTGTAATACAGCTATCAAACAGAATAAGGATCACTCAGCCTACGCAAAACATATATTAAACACGGGACACACATATGGGGCAATAGAACAAACTTTAGATATTATAAAAATAATACAAAATAGACGCCATAGGGAAACCATAGAAAAATACCATATACAACGGACACATAAACAAAATATTGCTTTAAACAACAGTAACCTATATTTAAACAACCCGATTTTTAACACAATACAAGTCATTGACTCAAGCACCTGACACCCTCTACCTATATATACCACCCGCTTCTATACACGAAACCAGTACTTGAACAGACAGTCAACCCGAGCAGACGTGATACACCACACAACATGACTTATGGTATGTTATTGAATTCTTACTGTTACAATATAGTTCATATTCCAAACTTATTTGCATATAAAATAAATAACTCCCAAATTTATTACATTTATTTACATAATAATCAAAACAAACATAAAATGCGTAAAACGGGAGGATCAGCGGAACACATGCTATAATAACGAAAAAACAGACGAATATAAAGACAGACATGCATTATAATATAAAATTAGTTTTAAAAGACAACACCTGAAGATGATGTATTACATCGAAACATGTTGTGAAGTGAATGAAAGCGCTCTATTGTAACATCCCTATAGTGATGAATGGCGCAAATTTAAAATTTTAAATTTTAACATTTAAATTTTAAATTTTAACATCTAAATAAAGTTTTGTGTATTGACCTGAATTTTATTATATATTTTAAACAAATGTTTATGTGCCTTCATGTTGTGGTGCTTAGACACAGTAGAGGGCATAAGGCTGATTGCCCTGTTTGTAATACAAATGTTTATGTGCCTTGATGTTGTGGTGCTTAGACACAGTAGAGGAAGTTTACTATCTGGAGTATTATTAACTAAAATAATTAACTGTTATAATATGAGTGTAATTATTGTAGTCTGCTCCAACAGGAATAAGCAGTGTGGAGATTGTATACACAGATGGCAGTCAGCAGAATGAACAGCGAGTAAAACTTTGTTCAGGGCCAGAGCCTCATCGCAAGCTTGCCAATGCTTGGATTGATGCTATCCAACAAGTATGTTGTATGTAACATTAGAAATCATTACTTGCTAAGTGAAACCTAGTTTTAGGTGCCAACCACACAGCCTTCTGCTTCATGAATCAACCCCATGGAGCACAGTTTTTATTGAGAAGCTGATAATAACCTCTCAGTTAAGAAATTTGTGGTTCATTACCATGTTCACCCTTGGTCCGTGTCCTGAGCCATATGAATTCAGTTTTTATCCTCACACTTTTTTTTAAGAACCATTTCCACATGATCCAATCTATGCTCTGAAATTTTAGGTTGTCTCTTACCATCAGGTTTTTTGGCTAAAAGATTTTGTACGTTTCTAATCTCTTTCATGTGTGCTACATGCCTCTTCCATCTCATTGTCCTTGACATGATTATCCTAATGATATTTGGTGAATATTCAAATTATGAAGCCTTCTTCTATCAGAGTAGAGACTACATATTTCAAGCCCATACATAACAGCAGGTAAAATTATAGTTCTGTCTATTTTATTCTTTTACTTTTTAGACAGGAGATGTAAGACAAATTGTTTTGAACTTTATGGTCTCAGACATTCCACAAATTTAATCCACTTGTAATTTATTTATCTATGCAATTTTAATCTGTTACTGCCATTCCCAACTGTTCCATCACTTTCTGAGGATTTATTAGCTGTTATTTGTTATGTTGTTGTCCTGCATTCTGGTAACAAGACTGAATATGAACTGAAGTTTAAAACTTGTTTGGCCTTATTATATTAGTATTGAATAAATTTTTATGTGGAAGGATTTCTTGCTGCTGTTACTTATTCTGGTGAACATTTTGCAATTATATTCACCGAGTTTGCTTGGTGGTAGCATTAATGATTTATATTTATGAGGTACTTGATTTTGATTGTGGCCAAGAAAACAGTTACACTGAGGTTTGTCATGTTTTTCTTAGTCACTCCATCCTAACATATTCCATTATAGTTACCTTAAAATTAGGCATGATTCCTGCTTCCTAAATCATACTTACTTCTCATTCATGATCATCTTCCCATCTTATTTGGCTCTGTATAACTCCTGCAGTTGAAATAGCATTATTAAATAGAGAAATTATTAATCTCTGCTTTGTTCATCACGACCAATGTAATGATATTGTTCCCACATCCTTAATTCAAGTTCATTTTACTCATGTTGTTTGTAATTTTTGTTATAGGCATTCAAATTGCTGTACGAATGTCGCTCAGATAATAGTGACTGAATCTCATGGAATCACAAGTACTGCACATAAAGTATTACTATATTTCCAAAATAATATTTCATAGTTTCTCTTTTTACATTTATTGATTTATGTGGGACTGTGGGTTATTAAATATAGTTTATTTGCATGCCATTTACAGTACAAATAGAAGTTTATTAATGTTATTTTACTTTGATAAATATATTGCTACAAATATAATGTTAAATGCAACAGCAGCCAGTCAGACATTTTTGTCAAAATTCATGTTGTTTACTTTTTAAGTGGTGTGCCTCCATAACGTATTTTTTAACCTGTTACTACCAAGGGTACTGTTTACAGGTTGCGCATGAATTTCCAGGATGTTATGTAAAAATTTAATATCGCAATGGAGGCCTATATTCCTAAAATAAGATGCACAAGGTGTTCAAAATGCTTATGTACATATAATTTTGCCATCTCTTAACATATATATGAATTACTTAAACAGAAAGCCAGTCTCTAGGCAGTCACAAGATTTGATCATGGTATTACCAAATAACCAACCTTATATTACTGCCAAAAAGGTGCAAGATTATGTTACACTTAGCTGTTTGTCTGGATATAAAATGTTTATAATGCAAAAATGTATAGAATGTTGCTAGTTGTTTTCAAAAAGGAGCTATATATACCCTGTATACCAAAATAATATAAGAGTTCCTCTGATTAAGAAACTTAAAAAATTTAAAATGAAAAAATGTAGTGTTACACATAAATTAAAAATTGTTTATCTTCCACAGTAATATATTTTTGTACTTCTGTACAGCTGGTAGAGAAGAAGACTTTGGATTTAATATTGCTAACTTCCGTGTATCCCTGAAGTTATTAACTTTTATGACTCATTATCATTCTATGGCAGTTCTTTCTCATATTTATTTAATATTTTTCATGGTCTCTGCTCTATTTTACACAGTTAATTAAAGCTATCCCACTAGATGCCATGGGGGCGCTTGGGGAAGATGAGGTATTGCTCTTGACTTTGGCACTAAATCAGAGTGAGTGGTCAGTGTCAAACCTCAGATCCCCTTTGTCCCTAGTACATGTTGGATAGGAGGCTGTGATGGTCTGGGCGCAGGGGCTAGAGGAAAAATCGTTCACCATTGAACCCAGGCCTCCATCTTTAGAAACTGATGACTGTCTGACCTTTAGCACAGACCTACGTTTCTAGTGCTGCTATCATGTTTGTGCTATGTAACTTTGTTTTGAAATAAACTACACAGGCCTATTTATATTTTATTCTTTTAAAGCAGTGGTATTCAACCTTTTTTGTTCGCGTACCCCCAGATATAATTTCTCTTCAACTTTGTACCCCTGAAGTTGTTGGTGTATAATTCAAGTTATACATAGTATATAATCTACATCTAAAATAAATTAAATAAATTACATTACTGATTATTCAGTGTTTATCATGATTTTTTTTTTTTAAATTTCATGTACCCCCTAAGATGTCTTCGCGTACCCCCGGGGGTATGCGTACCCCAGGTTGAATACCACTGTTTTAAAGTATAAAATCTAATGCCTAAAATGCAAAGATAACCTGTTTGGGGTACTTACTTTGTTGACACTTCTAAAGACATTAAACAGGACTGGATTTGGCTTCTGTTGCATGTACCTTTAATATTGTGTATGCTGTTGATGTGGTCAGGAACACATGAAGGAGGGACACACACATCTAACTTTTGGCCATTTAGGTCTTTGTGTGTG